GCAGTCAAGCAGGGCTTGACTGAAGCGCCGATCTTGGCTGTGGCTGACCAAGATCGTCCCTTTCACGTAGTGTGTGACGCATCCGATGTTGCGATCGGGAGTGCGTTAATGCAACTCGATCACGACGGCCGTGATCGAGTCGTCTACTACCAGTCGCGTCAGCTGAAGCCAGATAAGCGAAACTACCCAGTACATGCCAAGGAACTCCTTGCCATTAAGTATGCACTCGCGAAGTTCCGGATGTACTTACTCGGCAACACGCCGTTCGTGGTCTATACGGACCACGCGTCGTTGCGGACGGCTCTGAAGTTTCCGCAGATCTCGCAACGGATGGCGAGATGGTTGTCTTTCTTCGCGGAGTACAACTTCCGCGTCGAGTACAAACCCGGAAGGTTGAATGTCGTCGCGGACGCGTTGTCGCGACGCCCAGATAATGCTGTCAAGACAGCCGACGTCAACCGGATTTACGTCGCTCGGACATATACACCGTCGTCCTTGTTGGACGAGGTGAAGGCCGCGTATGCGCATGACACAGACGCAAAGCAGCTGATCGAGTTTCTCTCAGCTCCTTCCGACAAAGCACGTCGAAAGTTGGCCCCTCGTCTACGAGCGAGTGCACACCGGTGTCGTGCGCACGACGGTCTACTGTTTACAGCGCTGTAGACGACAATGCGGACCGCATTGTCGTGCTGAATGATCCTGACCTGCGCAGCAGGATCATGTACGAGTATCACGATGTCCCCATGGCAGGACATCCGGGACGTGAGAAGACGTATTCTCTTCTCACGAGAGACTTCTACTGGAACCACCTGTACAAGTGGGTGCGCAAGTACGTACGTACTTGCGATATTTGCCAGCGAGTGAAGCCTGCATCTCACTCGCAGGCTCCTCTGCAACCACTGCCTACTCCGTCGGAGGGTTAGGAGTCCGTTTCGATGGGACTTCGTGTTTGGTCTTCCGCGCGATTCCAGGCGGAAGACTGGTATTGTGGTCGTTGTGGACCGCTTCAGCAAGATGGTGCATCTCGCTGCTGTCGCAGCGGAGGTGACCTCCGTACAGACGGCACGTCTGTTTGTCGACATGGTGTTCAAGCACCATGGTATGCCCAACGACTGTGTCGGACCGCGATCCGCGCTTCACGACGCGTTTCTGGCAAGAAGTGTTCACACTTCTTGGAACGCAGTTTTCAATGTCGACTGCGGATCATCCACAGACGGACGAGCAAACCGAGCGCGTGAGCCGCGTGGTTCTCGTGGACTTGCTGAAGAGCTATGCCCAGTCGTTCCACAACTGGAGCGACTACTTGCCGATGGCCGAGTTCGCCATCAACAATGCGGTGCATGCCTCGACTGGGCATACACCGTTCTTCGTGAACGCCATACGGCATCTACGCCGTCCGAGCACGCTCGGGGCGGTGGCTTCCTCCTTAAGTGGGGGAGGATCTACGGTTGCACTCGAACAACCGCAGAATACAGCTGATACGGACCGTGCGATGACACGTGCGAGAGCGAGAGCCCGCACACGACAAGGCGACGTGTCAGTGCCGGGCACTGACACTGTGAAGAACCACGGGCACGTGACACCTTCTTCGACCAACGTGTCTGTGTACAGACCCCGAGAAGCTTCACGCACAGGCTGGGCCTGTTGCGATCACACACGAAGTGTCAGTGCCGGGCACTGACACCCCAAAGTGCCACGCACAGTCTGGGACTGATGCGAACACAAGTGGTGGGTCTGTGCAGGGCACAGACGCGGACAAGGCCAATGAGCTGGACCCGGGGTTCAGCTCTCAAGCAATGGACTTTGTCCAGGAACGACAAGCGGTCGTTCGATTTGTACAAGATGAAATTGCAGCTTCTGCGAATAAGCAGAAGTTGAACGCAGACAATGTGAGCAGGGGTAACACAAATGAATTCAAAATTTGTTCATTGGTTTTGTTATCTACTCCAAATCTGACATGCAGTTTCTGGATTCGGAGCAAGCAAGCTTGCTCCGCGCTTCATTGGACCATTCACGGTGGCAGAACGTCACGGCAGTGCATACACGTTGGAACTACCTTCCGACATGAGACTACACCCAACGTTCTACGTTGGGCGCTTGAAGCCCTACGTGCAGCACGAGTCATCTAGTCGTGATGACTCGCCGACGACGACGCGCGGCGCGACTTCAGCCTCTCCTCAAGCCTCTTCACCTTCTCCCGGAGAAGGCGAACTTGTTCCGACACCTCAACACGGATGTTTGAGGTGGTCTGAGCGGCTTCGACCACGTAGGCCTTCTGCACGTTCAGATTCTGCTTCAGCTCAGTGATCTGAGAAGCCCGAATGCGCTCAAGAGCCTCCACGCGAGCGTGGAGCGCCTGAAGACAGTGGCCAACCTGGGGTTGACCATATGATGAGCGTCCGGCACTGCCGACAGAAGCATAACTCTGTCCGCGGTACGATTCACCGCGAGGTGGATCGGATTGTTGACCATACCAGTCCGAAGACGAACCGAAGTCCGGTTCGTTTTCGTATTCGTTGGAGACAATCGGGACTCCTTCGAGATACGTGGTTTCCCCGAAACGTCCTGATGACGGACGTTCCGGAAATGGTGAAGGCGTACGAAGCCACCACGGCCTGGAGGCGTAACACTGCGGGGCACAGTGTTTCGCGGAGTGTTGTGCTCGGGCACAACACTACGATGCTGACACGTGCAAGCGAGCTTAGTACGTAGCTCCTTAACGTTTGCAGGTACACGGTTAGTCGTGTACCCGGTGAGGTCTCTCTCGCTGATGCGGGGAGCACCAGGAGGACAGTGCGGGCAATTGACGCCCACTGGCACTGCACAAGGAATGTTCGCGTTCACGGAACCTTCGTGAACGCGTTGGAGGACAGAAGTAATGGAGTACTTCATGAAGCGCTCACGAGATGAAGCGATTCGATCGCGATAAGCTGTCGAGTCTTTGTTGAAGTTTTCAACAAATTGATTCCAGCTTTGGCAGAGTATCTGCCACTCGGGCAATCTGCTTCGCCCCGAAGTCTTCTTCGAGCTCCAGTACCGGAGCTCATGAAAAAGCGAGATAATAGTCTCGCCTTTGATTCATCATCGGCTCAAAGTGCTTTGAGGCAGCTTCAGCGTCGTCGACAATTCGATTGTCGACATACAACGGTATCAACTGTGCATCCGTACCGTGCTGTGATAACACTCTCAGACGGCATCCAAGGTTCGTGACAGAGTCGTCAGTGCGCGTGGCATCACGTTGCTCCGACGGAACAACAGGTGGATCCGAGGTGATGGCAAGTGCTTTCAGTCTGGAAGGCACTGAATCACTAACACTTCGCGGACGCTTCGAAGATAAAGCGTCCGAATCATCTTCACGAGGGCGGCGAGTCCCAGTCGCAGGCTTGGAGTCATATGACAGGGAAGACGAGGTACCCTAGTCTTCAAGCTCTCCCTCCTCGTAGTCCACGGGGATACCACCGTCGGTCGAGAAGACCGACGAACCATCGAAGACTGTCTTAGGACTGTCTGGTTTTGCGGCCCCAGCGCGCATCTTCGCCGCGAGCTCGAGCTTCTTCTCTTGGAGCTCGAAGTACTTGTCGACAGAGAAGAACTTCTCTGTCGTCCCACTCAGAGGTGTCGGCGTTGCCGCCGACACAGGAGCGGAAGCAGGCACCGACGCGGAGGTCGGTGCGGACGCGGGATTAGCCGCAGGTGTCGACACTGAGGTCGACGCGGACACTGGCGAACATGCTGGTGTTCGCAGAGAGGCGCTCATTGCGAAATGAGCGCGGAGTCCTCTCGGAGGCTTGGCGGACTAGTCAAGGCTTGGTTTGACGTGTTGTGACCGGCACGTCAAATCTTAACGGGGGGTGTAACGGGGTTACACGAAACGCTAACCGTAACGCTAATCGGTTAGAGCTAGAGGTTTCCCGTCTTGATATGTGAACACACCAAGACTGCATTTGAAGGGATCCTATTGGTAGAGTGCGCCACACCTCTACCAATCAGCGATGCGAATCACTGTCAGCCACTAGCTGACAGTCCCTTAGATATTCGATAAACAGTTTAGGAAGGAAACCCTTTAAACAAACAATACAGTTCTCATTTTACACTATCTTGCTCCTATGTTGTCTTACCGTACACACGCATCGTGTGTACGCTATACAACCTAGAAACACCTACGCTTCCTCCAACACGTGCGCACACGTACAAGCTAACTTGTGAGCCCTAGGCCCACTACATTTACGGCCTCCGCCCACCACATCGCCGATACACTCTTGTAATGAAGCATGCTTCGAGCCTTCTCCATAATCGTTCTGTTCATGCGCTCGGCTACACCGTTCTGCTGTGGACTGTATGGGCCCGTCTTCTGATTTATGATGTCGAACTGCTGGCAGATATTGTCCATCAACTTATTCACAAATTCCCGTTATCTTAACGCAGACACTTGAGGCGCTCTCCCCATTGGTTCTCGTACATGGTCAAGAACATGTTTAACTTGTTGGCAGCTTCACCCATCTTGTTCAAGAAGTATATGACGACGTATCGCGAGTAGTCCTCCACGAAGACTAGTACATATCTAACCCCCACCCTTAGACTTCGTCTTCATCGGGCCCATCACATCCGTGTGAACCAACTCAAGAGGGCGTGGGATCGTCGTCAGCGACCGTGACGGAAAGTGCATGACTGTCTGCTTGCCCGCCATATAAATTTTTCACTCTCGGCCGAGTCTTTGGCATACCGGTGGTAACCTGCCGGGCCTTCTCCAACGAGTCTTCGTTGAGATGCCTCATGCGCGCGTGCTAAAGTTCCCACTCGCTATCGACTCCCGAGTACTCAGTGTAGTTTGCCGTATCTTGAAGTCCAACACGTAGGGTCTCCGCCCATCACATCGCTGATACACCCTTGTAATGTTGGCATACCGGTGGTAATCTGCCGGATCTTCTCCACCACGCCCTTGCTACACTGTCGAATCGAAGATGGCGACACCTTGCGATGTCGGAGTTGCTTGCTTTTGCTTTGCAACTCCGACATCGCAAGGTTGCTTTCGCTTTGGATTAAGTTTTTTTTCGTGTCGTTTCGTTTAGAGTATGGATTAGGGTTTATGGTTTTATGGTTTAGGTTCAACAGAAATTGATGCGCCTTCGTTCAATCTGCACGACGATTTTCGTGAAATCTTCGCATTTCACCGAATGTACTTGCAATTTCTATGTCAAGCATTTTGTCATTTATGGAAACGGTGTTCACTTTGCACGATCATTCCCATACTGGAGACAATATTTGCACGGCGAAATTAAGAGAAGTAGAATTTTATAAATACTCGTCTTCTACCGGGTCATACCGGCTTTTCAAAATTGGAGATAACCGAGAACTTGGACTTTCTCGTTGCAAATACACATATCGACGGAAGATATGGCCTGTGAATATAGATGCGACT